TAGGTCAACTGGCTAAGCCTGTGGGGATAAAAATTGCTGTGTAAATGTTAGGGCTTCAGGATCCCTCGTAGGATCCCAGAGCTTGGGCTCCAGCCCAAGTTCAAATGTCTACACAGCAATTTTGAGCTCTGCCAGACTGAGTAGGCTGACCTGGGCCAGCTGTGCGATGCCACGGGTCTTTTATTTCTGTATAGACAAATCCTAAGTCTCCTCTTGGAAACCCTAACCAGAGTCAATAGCTTCCAAAGCTGCACCCCACTCAACTTTAAATTAGCAATGCTGTTTATTCATTTAAATTGAGAATTTGTTTGCAACAGAACCTTTAACTGAACTTCAGACAATAGTGGTAAGATGTGCCAATTAACTGATTGTAATATCTCCTCCAGCATAATTCTCGCTGGGTGGGAGAAGGTACTGGGCATGAAGGGCCTAAGAAAGGAAATTCCTGGATAAGAATACATTTTTCCTTTCCATGTCCAGCAGTCTTAACAGTGGTATGTTTGTAGCTTTGAGTGTCATCCCTGAGATAGTACAGTAACATTAACTATAAACAACAATGATAAAGATACTTTTTGGTGAAAGTAACAGATATATTTGTGACTAACCAGTGGACAAAAGGAGGAACGGAAAACTGAGAGCGAGGCAGTAAGAAGAGGGGGGATCTCTCCCCTCAAAAAACTCATCAAACAACCTGGTGGCTATTTGTCTCTAAATCTGTCACAGACACTGAGGAACACATGCAGTAGGCAAAAGAAAATAATATTTCATTGTTGTAAATATGGTGGTGTTTTTTAACATGTATTCTATCTCAGAAGCAAAAATGCTAGTAAATCGGTCAAAACACATTCACCTGAACTGCTTTGTGTTATGGAATTTTTTTTTGCCCTCTTCCCCCCCTCCCCTCCCCAACAAGTGATTGTATGTATGTACTATATGCTGGAGGACTCACAAGCAAAGGAGCTAAATTTGATATATTGCAGGAAGAATCCTGTCTTGTAGTTTTGCAGACTCATTTTATTAAAGCTTTTCTGGCTTTTTGTATCAGAACAGCTGAAGACTTTCAAATCTGTGTTGGGATCATTTGAGGCAGCACAGATAAAACCTTTAATACACATCTGTCTTTAATTAAAAATGTTAACAAGCTAACAAAGGGATATTTCCAAAGATAATTTTAGAGTTTTATAACTGGGAAATATGAGAATTTTTTTTTATGTCTTAATATGCTAAACTAAAGGCAGAAGGATCATATTTGCACATAGTCTTTGGGGGTGGTTCTTGGCTTGTCATCATCTGCAGTGACACAAATTCTTGCTGATCTCAAACCTTGTTCATTTTTTAGAAATTCTCTTAATGCTTGACTCTGTAATGATGTTGTTGCGCTACCTTTTTTATACGTGACTTGTAACTTCAGTCCTTCATGGTTATAATGTTAAATAAATTATGGGTTTGACTGATCTCTTTGCTGTTTGGTGATTTGAGAGCACATCATTTTCAGTGATGTATTCTCCTTCATCTCCTCGTGAATGGCAAGTCAGGTCACCACCTACAGGAGAGAGTACAAATGAGATTTTGTTTGCACCAGTTGAGTTTGTATTGTGTAGTTCTAAGTGTGCTAACTATACCATTTTAAATTGAGAATGTCATCGCCTATAGTTTCAAATGATAACCTGCCCATCAGGATCAGAGATGAGCCTCTGTCCATTTTATTACTTTTAGCTTGACCTTTTTTGATAGCTTGTTTCAGTTGGTTTATGGGTGTGACGCTACTATCCTATCCTGATGTAACAAAAAAAAAAAAGTTACCATTGGGACTGATTCTCCATTCTCTTACTTCACTGGTATTTACACAGACATAACTACATTCGCTTCACTGGAGCTATACCAGTATAAAACTGGCATCACAGAGTGGAGAACCAGGCTAAATTAATTGAATATGCAAATAATACCAAGTGTGTACTGAATTGTCTGAGACATGGAAGTCAGGCTTTTCATCAAGTGGTCTATTTTCAGCACAGAGTTAATGTGTTGTTAAATCTTCACACACTGCTGAAAACTTACCATTAAATGTTTCTCTTTGGCCTTCAAAGCCTTATTTTTGGTGCTGAGACATATTTGCACAAAATGTATTAATTGTTCCTAGCTTCATGTCAATACTGTAATGTTAAAATTGTAGAAAATGAATGAAATTATTAGGCAGAGGTATTTCAAAGGCCTTTGAATGTCAGGTGATGTTACACACATCGTGATGCAACACACATCGTGATGCAACACCTATAACAGGGAGAAAAAAGGCATTATGTGATCCATGCTTGTTGACATTTTTAAGAGTTTCTTGATCACATTTGCTCAGTTTAGAAGTGAAAAGTTGCTAGTGTTTTTCTAATCGCCAGCCTTGGAATCTGATAAGTCAAAATATGTTCTTTTTGGCTTAATGAGCCTGAATAGAATCCAGCTCACACTTCCATTGTTGTGCTATTTTTGCAAGGCTAACGGACAGAAATATATTTGTGTCCCTTAAGCAAGCACACATGAATCTAAAAGCACCCAGGCAGTGGGTCTGTTGTGCAAGAAGGTGCCCTTTGTATATAGTTACACTTTTCTGACCCTGATTCAGAGTTTGACGGAGTTCTTTTGCAATTTTCATTTTGGTCCAAACTTGAAAAACTGGCCATGCCAATGAAAATGTGCTTGTATCCATTGCACCCATAATCCATTGCACAGAAAACTGGGATTTGCATGCATAGCTTTAGAAAATATAGCCCTTCAGCCCACTTTAATCTTTTTCCAACAACAATTTGGGCTTTTAGTCCATGTTACTGAAACACATTTTTGTCTTTGAAGTTTTTTTAGAACTAGTGTTTTACAAAATATTGGACACTATAAAGCGTTTGGTTCTACTGACTAAAGAGTTCTTGCATAAATATTTTTAAGTTTACATTTTAAACTTTTATTTTCCAACACCATATTCCAGCAGGAGAAAGATTTATAGCTCTATTAGTCTTGCTTCATAGCACAAACATTAAGGTCTGAGTTGCACACATATCAAGGTATGTGTTTGTATAACATATATTAAAAGTACAGTGTGCTTTCCTAACATTTCTGTTAATTTTAAACCATATTTCTTCCAGTGTTTCAAAGGCACTAATCCTGAATGAGGCAAATTTGTGGCTATTTAAAAGTAGACTGTTTTTATTCAGTGGAGTGCAAAAAGTTTCTGAAAATTGTCTTAGGTGAAACAAATGCTGTCCATGATATAATCATCTGCCCTCCTCTTAACTTCTGCCCCTCCTCTATCTTTTTATGACACAGGGCTTTCAATCTCACTTTCCTCATGATCCCCCAGCACTGTGATTTCCTATCTGACCCCTTCGTCTCACTTCTCCTTGCTGTCACCTTCTTACACAACATTCAATCTTAGATCACTTTGCCCACTAACCAAAATGGCCACTTATTTGACCTTATCTTCACTAAGCATTGCTCCTTCTTTGATTTCTAAATATGAGGCCTCCTCAGCAACTATCCTATCTCCTTCAACGAACGTTGCATGCTCATCCCCTTTTACCACCTCTCCGCCATATTCTTCCAGTCTGTCAACACGCACAACTTCTCAGCCCTTTCCTGTTCTCTTTCCCTCACTTCTGAGGTTCCCTTCAGTCCACTTTCTCCTCTACCCTCAACTTTTGCCCTTCTCTTCAAAAGTAAAGTCCACCTGTCACCTTCCAGGGGGCAGTCCAGACCAATGAATGGTTGCCACCACATGCCATGCAATATTGGGTGTCTCACGTTGCTTTGTTGTTGTAGCTCCCAACTTGGGCTACTCACAAACAGCCAAATAGCATGCAGGTCATCCCCTGAGTGTCTGTGTATATTTGCAGTCCTGGTCCAGCAACTCTGGTTGCTATCCTGGTTAGCAAACACAAGCCACCCTCTGGCTTCCAGCAGCCTTGGTTAATACTTGCAGGGTGACCCCAACACACTCCCCATCCCCAATTTCCCCCAAAATGTGTGTTCTGCACTGTCCAGCCCTCTCCTGGACAGTTCAGATATTATAGGTCTGTTGCCCCTGTAGGGGGTCAGTATGCAACAGTTTGCTACTCTAACTGGAGTTACCAAACAGTTGAGTTTAACCACAACACTGCATTAGTTTAGATTTATAAAATAACTATAAAGTGAGAGATTAAGTGAGTACAAGTATAATGTATTAAAGACAGAAATGGTTACAAGAGAAATAAATATAAAACATTTTCTAGTAGCTAAAACTTAACAAACTAGACTTGGTTCAAGGTAAAATCCTTACCACAGGTTCCCAGCACCATTGCTGACCAAATTCTCAGAACAGGAACTCCTCCAAAGTCAGTGGCTGGTTCCTGTGTCATCTTAGGAGAAAGAGAGAGAGATAACCTAAGGTGGTTTTGCTCCTCACTTTTATAGTCCAGTCCCCCTTTGAAATGCCTTTTCCTGAGGGTTACCCCTAGATAAATTTCCTTCTTGCTGTGAGGATGGAGATATGGAGTCTTGTGATGAAAGAGGTTCCATGTTATTGTTTGCTAAAATGCAGATTGATCTGTTCCTGCCCACCCAAGAACAGCCACTTGATGGATGATTGCCAATCCACATTGATGACACCTGGCTAGAGGTGTTGGCTTGTCCTTTGTCTTTGAGAAACTGGTTTACCCCCTCTTGCTGCCAACTTCTTCAAGGAAAATCAACCAGATCCCTCCCATCCCACCCCATGGGCTGGAATAGCAGCATTGTATAAACTGTGTTGCAGCTCCCTGGGTTAGCTGTGGTTTGAGTGCACTGAAGGACTCACAAACCATGATTTCTCTGACTTTGCATATGTGCGCTTTTCAGTCATAGTGCACATTTTCTAAATTAATTTAATACAGTACATATTTTCCCTACAGGTTGCAATTATTCATATGGTCTATTAAGTAAATCACTTGAGTTATGATGTAGCAGGAAGATAATAGAATGTTTTTTTCCCCTTCTCTTTACAGGAAATAACCACTTGTTTGCCAGAGTACTATAAATGGACACAGTATCTCTTTATTAAGTTATTTGAAGCTGGATTAGCCTATCAAAAGGAGGTAAGTGCAAACATTGACCTATACAATTATGCATATACCTTAAACTTAATGTCCTGAGTCACTCATACTATAGATAACATCTTTCAGGCTCTTCATTTCGCATTCATTAAGGGGACAGATATCTGCATTACTGTGTTTGTGCTTTTGTATATCACTGTAAAAGATAACGAAATGTTAATTGGTAACTATCTTCCACTGCTACGTATAATGGCAAGGCAAATCAATGATCTTTATTATCAAACTGGTATACAGTGGCTGTACGTGCAATATTGGTATGCCAAATGAATGATGTAGATTGAATTTATTTATTTCTTGGCTCTTGATGTCATAAAACGACTCCTGCTTACTTAGGCCTGGTCTACACACTAGCCTGTTATTTCGGAATTAGCTGAGTTATTTAAAAAAAAAAAAAGATTCCGTCCACATGACCAAACGGTTTTTTTCGATTTAAAGGGCTCTTTAATTGGATTTCTGTACTCCACCTCAGCAAGTGGAGTAGCG